AAAGTTGCACCTTTGGCCATCCAGCTTTCCTGTCACATAGACACTGTGTGTGCTTGGCATTCTACACCTAGCTGTTGGGACTTTCATGATGGGGGTTGGCGAGTGTCCCTCAAAACCAACCACTACTGGTCTCCTTGAGGCTGACTTGTTGGTAATATTCTTCTTACACTAGCTCCTCATATGCCCTTGCTCTCCACAGTTCCAACAACCTGTGTTGAAGTTGCCAGCATTGAGCTCTCTTGTGCCCAGGTTTGTTACAGTGCCAGCAAAGTCCCTCAAACCTCTTTGAAAGTTGACCTTTTCTGGCCTTGAATCCTGATGGCTGTACCAACCTTGGTACCTCTGTGCTGGACTTAACGTAAGATTCGAATTCAAGAGCTCTGGCCATTGCATCCTGCATAGTAGAGGGGTGTGCTTGCTTCACTTGTATCTTCAGCTGTGGACTTGTCAAGTTCCTTCGAGAATCTCATGACGTGTTACCAGCGTCACGTGACTTGCGCTGTCGTAACAATATTAATATGACGATAACGTCACGCGAAGCTGGAAGCATGCACGCTGGAGTTTCTCGAAGGATCATGACTGTTCCTGGCAACTCTAGTCTTTTCTAGGCGCCCTCTTTTTTTGTATTTAAGCCCGGCTAATAAAGCGGAGATATAATAGCAGATAGTGAGATATAGGGACAGATAATTGAGTCAAGTGAGCGGTAGTGACCGTAAGTAAAGTGCGTGAATCGTTGTGAATTATAGCGTGTGTTGAAGTGAAAGTGACTGTGGAAATCCTGTGTATTGCAAAGTTGTATTGAGAAAGAATAAACTAGTTTTATTTAAGAAAGGACTAGTATCGCTGAAGTTTCTCGGGAAGAATTTATACCGGAAATTAACAAACGAACAGAGACGCAACAATATGATCAATTACTGCAAATAAGGTTGAAACGTTTCATCTTGTAGCTAAAAGGGTTTATTTCACCTATCAGATACATTTCTTATGTTAAAGCCATTTTGGTTGGCTGTGACCAATATGGATTTCAAAGTGGCTTCAAAACTTTAGGTAATTTTCAGACTTTCTTTTTTTCTTCCAGACATAAGTTGAAGTTTCTAGGTTTTCGCTCTCTGAGGCTAAAGACGTGTTTGTTTTCTTCGCGTAATAAGTTTGTTTTTTTGATGTAATTCTAAAAATGTATAAAATATATACTTAATAATATAAAAATGGTTAATATATTTCCATTTTTTTGCATTCCTTGCTGAAGTATATTCAATAAAGAAGTGAGAACTAATAACCTAGTCCAGTCTTTCTGCAATGAAAGCCTAACGTAATTATACAACGAATGTTAACAACTGTGCAGACTTCGATTTTAGTTTTACTTTTACGTAGTGAGAATGAGTGGACTACTTTTAGTTTAACAACTGCTAATGCAGTAATGGTATGTATTTCAGTTCTGACAATAGGTCTACTAAATATTACAACACAAGTCAAGTCTGAAGTATAAAATAACTTGTATTATTTTCAGTAATAGTAACGCCTAATAATTAATAAATCAAGAATGTATACTTGAATGTATACTCACACGATTTATTATATTTGTTAGGCCTTCAAATTCGATGACGAGGAACCCACTTTGAGACTAATAATGGTTGGAAACGGCTTGAGTGGGTAATGAAGAAAAACTTTAGGATAAGTTTAACATAACTGCAAGTGTTAAAGTTTTTCTTCATCACCCATTCAAACTGTCTCCAACCTTTATTGTTAGGCCTTGCTGAGAATTTAGCGCGGGTCTGATTTTGAAGTTTTACAATATTCAGGTTATCACTATCGGTATCACTTATCCGCTCCAACTTAATTCACTACAAGGCTTAAATGCTCGATATCGTACAATATGTTTTGATTTAATTTTAAGTTTCAACTAATATCAGAACGCTAGTATTACTGCTAGTTATTAGTACTACTAGTAATAGTAGTATTAATATTATTAGAAAGTAGTATTACTATTATTATTAAGATGGTGTAATGTATTATTGGTGTAGTAAAAATGAAAATGAAATATATTACCACTACTAGTAGTACTAGTTCAAGTAGTTGTAATACTAATAGTAATTACTACTTAATTTTTAAGTTTAAAGTTAAACGTTAAATGACCCAAACTGTTTTACATGGTAGTAATTTTAGAAATTATTAAAAAATTACGTTTTTCATTTCAATTCCTCAAGTTATCCTTATCAAATTTAAAGTTCAAGATAACCAACAGAGTTTATTTAGAATTGCTAATAGAAATAACTAAATGGTGAAGCAACAGTTTCCATTATATATTATGATAAAATTCATAGTATGGAGCACAATATAGCCCATAGTCTTTAATCTTTTTTTCGGTATAAAACTTGGATCATTTTGTTAAATAACAATGTCATTTTAATATTATGATTGTAAGAAAAAGCCCATGAAATTTTTGAAAAATTAAGTTATCATAAATTATAAATCAACTTGCATATTTTTATTGTAAATGTAATTCCTTATTATATTCATTTATGCATTGTAATAAATAAATATTTTTTGTAAATATTTTTATAGCACATGATTTGTTCCATATTTCCTCTGCAGATTTGAACAGTGTCTTTGAGCATGTGCAAATGTAAATGCACTACTTTGCATGAAATTCAACAAACAAACAATTTATAAAAGGAATAACAGATGATCAAAATAATTCCATGTTTGGTGATTTGAGACATTTTCTGATAAATTGATGAACTAATTTTGACAAGATATATTCCACAGAATACAGAAAACTGTAACTTAAGTAAGAAAATCATTATGTACAAACAGATGGTGCATTCTTAATAAAATTTCTTATATAGTCTTCTTCACTGACAGTTGACAGATAAAACATGTTAGATAATATCAGAACTGGTGTATCTGTCAATATAAGCATTGGAATATTCAGTTATTCCTGCTAAAGCCTCATCCATAAGTCTTTGGAAAGTGACAGGTGCATTTTCAGGCCAAAAGGCATCACTTTAAATTGGTAAAGTCCATTATCAGTTACGGAGGCAGTTTTATGGCGATTTTCCATCTTTACAGATATTAGATATTTGGGCCCACACATTTGCAATACTGTTTGCCAATTTTGGAAAGATAAGACGTTATGCTTTTATTGTTATTATTATTATCTTTTGTTATTTCAGTTCCATAACATAAGTTTTGTTTGATTGGTTAATACTCATAGTCAAGTTTAGGTTAGCCATTAGTCTTAGTTGTATTTTTCAGCCATTCCATTTGCTTAGGCTTACCATGATCTTTGTTATTTTAGGATTACCTGTAATTCACCATACTGGTGTATCTGTAATTAATTTCACTATATTGTTTTTCTTTCTATTCACTTGGTTTGTGTGGAACTCTTGAGCTGGGATCCACACAACTTTTCCCAATATTGTACATACTTATTGTTCGGTTAAGTATTTCATTTAGAGCTTAGTGATATTTTTAGGTATTGTTCATTTAGACTTTTTAAATGTATATTTTCGGTGTACTGGTAATTCCACTTCTGCATTAATTATCAATTATGTTAAATATCTTGTTCGATTAGGCTTAATAAGTCTGTTAATTTTGGTTTCTCTGTGTTTTTTTTATGGCTTTATCGATATTTAGGTTATTTATCTTTTCTTCAACACAGAACATCGCATCCATCTGTTTATTTCACTACACAATTTCTTACCATTAATTTCACTTGTGAGGGCCCCCGGGGTCAAAACTACCTGCTCCCAGTATTGCTCGTCTTCCTTCTATAACAGCAGACCCAGTTTATCAGATGACTTAAGTTTGTCAGTTTTCCTCCATCTTCTCAAGGAATGCATTCCTGGCCTCTACTGCAAAATGTGCCAGGCCTATCTTAAGTTCTTTTTCAACATGTTTTCTCCACTTCTTTGTCTGTTATATTTCTCTTTCACCCTTACCCATTGGGTTTAGATTGTGAATCGACTGGCTTTTTCTTCCTTGTACTCTTCTTCCCATCTTCACTTCCTGGTGTCTTCACTCCTAACCTGCACCTCCCTTTTTCCCTGCATGTCTACCCTAGCATCAGTTGGAGGTACTTCATCTGTCAAGCACTCGGACTACATTTCATAAGTTCTTCTCTCATTCTCTGCTTTGGATAGCTGTTTCTTTCTTGTCAGGGTACCGTCATTCACCTGTTGCCATTCTTCACTTTTTCATGAGACTGAGATTGGGTAAGTTACCTTTTCTTATATATACCTCTTCTATTTCAAGAGCATGTCCATCTTTTTCTTACTGGATCCTGCTCTGAGGTGAGTAGTGCCTGACCAGGTATTCTTTAACCTTTAAAATCTGCATTGTTCAGCCATGTTGACTTGTTTATTATGTTCCATGGCTACGCAGTGCACACTGTTGAGATGGGGGGATTCCACAAGATTGCTTGAAGGTTATCCTCATGATGGAATTGGTTCATAAATATGCCCGTTCCGAATTGTACTTCCCGTGGACTACATGGATAAGGCAGAATTGGATAGTTGCCCATCCCTGCCATGCCTTGTATTGAATAAATTGGTATGGTCTGCTTTTAAAAATAGGGTTTTGTGGTCACCCATTGCACTGTATCAGGTGTTGATGAAAATGCAAGGAGTGAGATGTCAAATTGAAGTTCACCCCTTAGATTGGAATCCCTCATCCTACCCCCATGTTGGATGTTGGTTCCCAGTGGCTGGGTTTTGGATTTAGAGTAGAACCAATCAACATAAGTCCTCACACATGTATTACTGATGTCTGTTTTCCTTCCTCAGTTATACACCATCTGTGTTGTAGGTCACATTGGACATACTTGGGATTGTTACGTTTTTTTCCTTCTGCCCCCCCCTGATGTATCTTACTCCAAGGATGTTTTTGCACATGTGTTGGTTCTGTTCAATTTCACTGTTGAAGGAGTTGATTTCTCTGTGGTAGACATCTTTTCGATACCGGATGTTGGGTTCCTGGATCGATATATAATTTCCTATTCTTAACATGTGCCCTGTTCTGGAGTCAAGAGGGTTTGAGATCCCATATGGTCTCTTGAACTTCAGGTGAAGATGGTATGATCCTCATCCTACCCCTTGGGGGCACTTCCATTTTTTTCCCCACACATTTGGATGTGTTCCTCTGTTTTTTTCCACCTGTATATACCACACCTTTTTCTGATAAGCAAAGAGTATACCTGGTTCAGAAGTGGTGTGGTCTTCCACATCAGATTTTCAGATCTGACCCTCTCATTTCAAGGTGTGTCATTTGGATGCTTCTTTTCTTCCCTCCCATCAGTCCCTCCACCTATTCAATGTGGGATTCCCACCCTTCCTCCACACTGAAAACGGTGCTTCCATTTCTGCCAAAACTCAAACTGGTAGTTTGGTAGAATGGAATAGAGGGAGTCAGTCAAATGTGTAATGAGAGTATGTAGCACTCTCATTGGTGGAGGGTTGTCACATGATGATTTGCATTGGAATGAGTCACTTCCAGTGGAGGGGAGGCAGAAAGCTTGTGGCATGCATTTATTTTTATTTTTTTTACTGAACGAGAATACTTATGTGAAAGCAGGTAAGTACCTATCAAAACTACATTTTCAGTATGGGAAAATTACAACTTTTGTAAAGAGCTCCCACAGGCTGGTTTAATTACTTTAGAATCCAACTTACAAGATAAATTGTTCTTCTCTATCTCTACTGTTACAATACAAACTGTGAAACTTTCACTTTAGAAATTGCGTCTTATGGCTAAACTGACAATCATGCAGTATAACTTCACTTTTTTCACTTTTACTTTCACTAACTTCACTTTCTTCCTCTCTGTATCTGCACGTATTTAAAAACATGCGAAATAAAAATCTAGAAATATCTAGCCCTCTAGTAACAACAATATTAAACACAATGAAGCTTAGAGTAAGATAATGTCAACAACATTACAAAAGCCTAGTACAACAATTAAATTGCACACATAACATACAACTCCAACAGAGTTATGTAACGAAACTTGTCATAATTATTGCTTTTCAAATAATTAACTTTTAAAACTCTTGTTATGAAAACTAAATAATAACTCTTAAACTGAACAGTCTTGTATATCCAACGAAGTACAACACAAATGATCCTGCAAATAAATTGTGTATGAATTTATATATTACAGAGTAACTTTCCTTAGTTGGTATTATGGTTAATTTTGACTAAAGGAGTTTGTTTATATCAAGAGGTTATTTAAAAAAAAAATTTTTTTTTAGTTATCATTTGATATTGCAGCTTTTTCTACAGTGTTAATTCACAAAATAAAACTGATTTTTAAACAACTGTTAGCTGGTAAATAATTTTATTTCAAATGTCCAGTTATGGGAATGAGTTAGTATGCTCTTGGCAATCAGTTTTAATCAATGATCTGATAACATCCAACAATGTAAAGTTGAACCTAACTAATGATAGATCAAAGTGATTTTGGAATGCAGCATTCGCTGTAACAAAATACAGTGTTTAAAACCAGTATTTAATAAATGAACCATAACTTTCAGCCTTAATTACATACATAATTTTTTTGCATTGAATAAAAAAGTATTTTCCTATAATTACTGCTTGATTAAAATAAACACGACACAGTTTACAGATACTTCAGTATAAGTTTGTTCATGTACTTGAGATATTGAATAGTACTGTACAGGAGAGAAGAAGCGGTTAGCATCAGAGCCACATCTGTAGTTTATCAGCTTCATCAACATGTTTGTGAACATCATTTTCATCTAGTACAAAGGTGATATGAGTTGAAATGAAAACATCACGTACAGATCACAAACATACATTGTTCGAATTCTAGCATAAGTTGTATTTTTACATAATGTAAGTTATGGTAGGTGTATATCGAGGTTATCAAAATATTTATCTGTTCACTGCTTTGGAGCAGCTGAGGATTCTGTTAAGTAGAAAAAATCAAGTTAAATTATTTATTTAAACTATAGTAATGAAAGAATAGAAGAACAGAAACTGAAATAATGATAAACTTGTACATTTGTGTGTGTGTTTATATATCTATATATGTGTGTGTATTATTTTTAGAATATGTCTTTTGTTTTCTCAAAAATATCTATCAATAAGTGTATCTTTCTTATACTATAAAAAAAGTTACAAGATGCATGTCTTTTTATCTGCCCCTTTAGTTCAACTTACATGGTGTAGTACCAATGGAGATGTCCTGATCTTCTCTATGCATACATTTCAATGGAAAGCCCATCTCTACAGGTGTATGTACTCCTTTGAAATATGAAGACATCTTTAAGAAAAGCAATTTTGTTTTTTGCTGTTATATGGATATTTACAACTCGTACTCAATGTAAGGTATTTTTCTTTGACTAGCTAGTTTTATAAGTGCTTAATATTGAAATTAATGTAGAATGAACATTGGATAATATGTATATGATAGAGTATTTCTATTTAATAAGTACTGAGCTTTGAGTTATATTTTTTATAGTATGTACAAAGGGTTGAGTACTTTATATTAAAATGATTCTGAATATGCAAATTGGCATGCCATGTGACAATTGTAACTTATATAGCCATGGTGGAACAGCATGTATCAGAATTTAATTTTGACATTTTGTAGGTTGGGTTATACCACTGTAAAATGATTTCTTTTGGGAAGGGTATTTAACAGTCATTTCAACACATAATGCTTATGCACTCAGGACATAAAGATGTGTTCAGATTGGGGATATAGAATTTCCAAGCAGTGATATACTTTGTACATAATGACATCAAAAACAAAAGAATATGGAACAGCTTGGGGCACCAGGAACATCCAAAAGAGATCTGCAACAAATCATACCCCAGCTACAGTAAGCAAAGTGTGGCATCTTGTAACAGGCTAGAATTCATAAATACAAAGGTCAGTGGCTAAAGCCATTTATGTGCAATAGTACCAAGCAACAGTACACTATATAATAAAGAAGGACCTCCATCTTGAGAAGTAATGCAAATCACTTGTTTTGCTTCCAAGACATAGCCATTCAACTGTTGCATATCTCAAACTGCTGGAAAATGAAATGGGTGTTCATGTTATTCCATACAATGATATACTGGAATGGTCAAGGTTCTGGATGCAATGTGTATAGATTTCTGTACAATTGGACTGTTGAAACAGTTACTGGGAAACTGTTGTCCACCTACATGAGATAGAATATTTAAAGTAGCAGGGAAGAGTGGTATGTGAGAACTCTATGGTTTGCAGTGGAAACTACTTACAGGGCTATTGTCAAGAAGCATAGTTGTCAGATGGAACTTGGCATGACAACATGGAAAACTCCAAATTTATTTTAATATAATGTATTTAACCTCTGTACTATAATGAATCTAAATATTCTAAAATAACTGTTTTGCCTAGTTTAAGCTTCAGACCTGTGGCTTACTATTGTATTGTGTGATTGATACTTTACCAACTGAGCCATCGGGGCTTAAGTTACAAGCAGACAACCATTTTGTCTCAAGTGTCACCATTTCCATTCCACTCCATCAAGGCTTACATTCGAGGTGACCATATATGGAGGTTTCACTTAGCCCAAAATCTTCAGGTCACAACGTACTCCCTATATTCTCATACATTCAATAAACTTGAAATATACTTGTGTCAACAACACTACTACACAATACATTATCCCACCAAATGAGCCAAGCATGTATACTGTACTTGTGATTTGAGTGAGCATCATCGAATCTGAGATGGCTCTAAAGAATAGAATAACCACTAGTTGGGTAACAAGGTATTGAAAACCTTTTGTGAATCTTATGCTGTACTAAGGTACTTGGATTCAAATATCAAAAAATCGTCTACTCATCCTAACAGTTATGATACATACTGTATTATGCTCTAAAATTCTTGCATTTTTATGCAACAAAATATGGCTATTTTGTTAAAAGTAAAAAATAATTCAAATTTCTGATATATCTTACCTCTACTCACAAAAAGCTTTCTCAACTTGTACTTCCCTCTATTGGCAAAAATATTTGCTCCCGCCATTAGTCTTGTTACTCCCACTTATTACTGCTTACCAATATGCAAATGATTATGCAGCAACCCTCCACCAATAGGAGTGTGACACTACCCTTATCATAACTAGCACCCTCTAATCATGCACATGTTAATCACTTCTTGATTGGCTGTCCTACTGGTTAGATATGTTTTTCGTTCATGGTTTAATTAATCTATCCACACATTTTTACTTTTGTGAATTACTCATTCAGTTGATTTGTTATTTTACATTTTCATTATGTTTCTTGGAGAATTATTTTAGTTTTTCATGGCTCATGAAATGATGGCTCTGGTCCATCTGGAGTTGACCACATTCATGCTACAATCAGAACACAGTGATGATTGTCCTGACAAGATTTTCAGTGATCTTTTAGTTTTGGATTTGGACAGCCCCCCCTTCCTGAATGTGCCTTTTAGTCATGTCTCATTTCAGGGGACTTGCTCAAACCTATTTCCTCTTTGGTTGATTTGTTATTCAGGTATGTTATGTTCTGTACTTATCTCCCTTTTACTCTGTTCCACCCCTGCTCTTATTGAATGTTCCGATCCCACCTCCTCCTTTGTATGAGCAGGGCTTTCCAAGAGTATATGACACATACTGCTCCCTTCCATGGTTCCTGAGTCCATTTGTGTCTTCCCAGAAATCCTCACCTCTCCCATGAACTTTTCCCATCACCCTTCTGGGTTGAATTTGCCAGTTCATTTGTCTGGCATTTTCTTCTCTTTCTTCCAATGACTGTCACCTTTTTCATGTTTTCTTCCTGTCAGATCCATCACCTTACCATGTCTCTGGCTGCACATTTTCATTTTTCCTTGGAGCACATCATTAGTGCTGTAATTGTTTATCTGTAGTGGTAAGTACTCCGTTCATTTTACTTTTCCTTTGCATGGGCCTTTATGGCATCTTTGGATCCCACTCTGTGCCAAGTGTTGCCTAAGCAGTATACATAGTTTTAAATCCTCACTCTATGACCTGTGAATATGCTAGATGACTGTGATGTTGAGACTCTTCCTACCACATACCTGATGTACCATTCCAGATGCCGCCAGGTGTTGGTTGATCGACTCTGTCCAATATGTCCTCCATGCATCGATATTAAATGTAGAAAAAGAGACAAAATAACACATCACAAGGTCATTTTACACCCACCATTAAAATGGGATGTTCCATTGGACCGTTCATAGGTGTAATTCACAGTCTTTTGCTTCATAAATTTGTTCCTCTTGGACTGTACACTCATGGACTGACATGAGTGAAGCAGACAGGGATCACTGACCATCTCTGATAATCTGTGGTGTTTGATGCTTGTCCTACTGCAGACCTGATGTACAATTCCAGAAGCCACCATATATTGGATGATGCACTGTGTCAACAGGATAGTTCTGCTTTTCAATATAAGGTATCACGGTCACCCATTGCACTGTCTCCAGTGCTGCTGTCCTTTGGTCTGTCCAATACATTATTTCTCTCCTTCTTTTGGTGGAGTATGGAAGTCCTTGCCACTTACCAGGTACTAGCCACTGGGTTGGTGGACCATAATAGACTGTCCTCCTGGGTGTGCACAATACTACTCAGTTTGAGAGTAGGGCAGTAGCATTCTGGGGGTTTCAATGGCATGACACCCTTCCTACCATGAACCTGATGTACAATTCCAGATGCTGCCAGGTATTGGCTATAGCACTCTGCCATATATATTACAATTTGCCCCTCTGGCTGAGATATACTCCTTCCTACATAAGTCCTAACATGTGTTTTGCTGGTACCCTCCTCCTACTGTGGACTGGATGATCAATTCCCAATGCCATAGGTTTTGGATTGGAGATGTAACCCCAAACTGGCAGTTCCTCTTCTTACCATCTTCTGGATGCTGGTTCCTGGTGGATCAGGGGTTGGTTGTAGCTGGATAAAACATGACTTCCTGCTTGTGTAAGACTTGGTACCCTCCTTCTAATGCTGCCAGGTTTTGGACTGGAGATGAACACCCATTTGGTCTCTCCTCCTGTCAGTTCCTGGTGGATCTGGTGTTGGTTATGTTGGAGGTGTGAGCTCTCCTTCCCTCCTGGTACCCATTTCCTACTGCAAACCTGATGTGCAGTTCCAGATGTTGGTTGAAGTTGAACTCCCATTTATGGTGTGTTGCACCCTAGCCACTTTATACCAGGGGTCCCATTATTTCTGTATTTTTTGGGACCCCCTCCAAGTTCTTTCCATTTACATTTTGGCAACACATTACTGAAAGGCAAAGAGTATACCTCGCTCAGAAGTGGTGCGGTGTCCCACTGGTGTGTTGTTTTTAATTCCTTATTATACCTCATGGTCTCCCTTTGGGCACTTCCTAGAGGGAGATCATCTTCTCACCAGCCCTCCACCAGTTCAGTGTGGGATTCTAGCTTTCTGTGAGAGAAGTTAAGATACCGTATCAGAAGTTAACATTTTCCTAAACTGAAAATGTATTTCCTATAAATACTTACCTCCTCTCACATTTCCCATTCATCCTCCCCACTTCCAGAGTGAATTGGTTTGGTTAGTTATGACCAATCTCAAAGTGATTAACATGTGCATGATTAGAGAGGGTGCTAGTTATGTTATAGGTAGTGTTGCACTCCTATTGGTGGAGAGTTACTGCATGATAACTTGCATGTTAATGTGCAGTAATAAGTGGGAGTAACAAAGCTAGTGGTGAGTGAAAATTTGTGCCAATACAGGGCAGCAGAAGTTGAAAAGCTTTTTTGTGTGAGGAGGTAAGTATCTATTGTAAATAGATTTTCAGTAGGAAAATGTTAACTTTTGTTACTGATCCCTTATGTTTTTTTAAATTTCCACTAAGATTTAAAAAAAAGATTATGTAAATCGATAGAAGTTGAAAGCAGTGGTTTCTTTATTAATATCAAGTCTCCTTCATGATGATTATAATGGGTCTGTGACCCACTGAAACATGTAGAAGAATTTTATAAAGTTTTTATATTGTGTCATTTTAAATACTGGGTATCTAGTTTTTAACATAAATATCTATAGTATGGGTATGTTATGTTTATAATACTTCAGATATGCTACTCACCTCTCTGCAACAAAAAAAGAACTATTACCTCATGGGAACTGCTGTTTAAATACCTGTGCATGCCACAAGCCTTGAACAAAGTTCCCATTCTTACATGTACTAATGTGCATTGCACTATTTTATGATGTAATTATCATTAGACTGTAGCCTTCCACCAGTAGGAGGGCTCCATACACAGTGATCCCCATATTATTAACATTTGAACATAGGCTTATTCTTTTCTTGGAACTGCTTGTCTTTAGACGTGTTGTTTCGTCAGATTTATCAGAATTTTTGTGTTTATGATTTTAACTTTTCTTCACATTCTTTCCTTAATTTTCATGATTATATAAAAAAACAACTCTGAATTTTAAACTTATCAGCTAGAACTTTCCTCCAAATTACCTTCAATATGATTTTCGTTTAATTGGCTTTGTACTTTTGGGACACATGTTCCTGTTGTTTAATCCACCTAATAGGTTTCATCCAGTACTTTTCAAGGTCATCATTAGGCATATGCACCCACTCCATACCTGGTTCGTTTTCTGACTAATAACAAAACAAAAACACAAAAATTGTATTCTATCTATTTTACAGAATGGAACACCACTACATTAGTTTTGTGGATTAACTGGATTATGCATTCATGTTCCCATATTTTATAGTTCTCGAGATTTTTAACACTTCTTCACAGGAGTCGGTCAGTATTATAATGGTGACTAAAGACACTCTTAACAGTGAGTGATATTACCACCACTGAGCACCATGTAGTTAACTGTTCTGATCTTGAATCTAGGATTCTTGACCTCCTGCTTCTGTTACTTCTTGTAATTGTTCCATCTTGTGTTTCTATGCTTGTTTTTTGCTTCTTGATTTCTCTTATCTTTTATTACATGGAGTCCACAGGTATGTATTTTTTACTTTTTCTCTCCAGTAATTTTTTGCTGCAACTCAGGCTCCCTTGTTGCATAAGCCTCTTTTACCTTAATCTGTTTTTTGTTTTGTTTTTTAAGTCTAGGGACCTCCAATTTTTCTGTATCTCCATCTAATCATATTTCTCCCTTAATCAAATGATTTGTTCATTTGGAGGCTCTCCATCGTGACCGTGTCAGCTTTACTGGGGTAACTTGTACATACCTGGTTTGGGGTCTCAGACACTTTCTCTGCATCCTGATTCATTTGCCTGCCTTTTGATTCCTCCAAAATGTCAAACATTTGTTTTTCATCTCTTTTCTTCAAGTTGGCTACAGCCTCATCCTTTTTCATTGGGTCCAATTGGTTTTTACTTGGAAGCTACTCTATGGAAGTTTGACCTCTACTTCCACTTCCAGTGTGGCTTCCCCTGTTGCAACCCACCTTCTCCTTTAAGAGTCCTTTTGTTTGAGGTTGCTGGTTTGGCTCTCCAATCCTGTATCTTATTCATTTGGGGGTTTCTTTCTGTGTATATGCAGGGCTGGCTTAGCCTACTTCTTTGTCTTTGTGACAGGGAGATTTTTAATACCAGGGCTCTCATGTCTCCCTATTTCATGCATGAGTTTTTTCACGGATCGAAATATTGCATTCCTGCATTCCCGAGGAATTAAATTTTGCTTAAGGAAAATTTCATATTTTTAGTTGGCTTTCCCCATCGGGAATGCATGATCCATCTGTATTCCTTTAGTTATGACCAATGAAAGTGAACGTGTTGTCTGTATTAAATAAAAAAACAATTCCTGAGGAAAAGCAACTTTACATGAGCACAAATGAATGTAATTGTATTTCATTGTTTCTATCCCTGCTCTTTAGTCCTTCATTCATCATGGATATGCCTGCATGTGTCCCCTTAAGTGGTTTTTGGCCTGTCAATGCAGGTATTTGCAGAGATACATTGTTTTCTTTTCTTGTTCTGAGGTCGTAATAGCTCACTCGATCCCACGTGACCCTGGGTATCCCTCTACCCTAATCCTACCCAGATTTGCATCAGAGCTCAGAGGTCAGTCTATGGGCTCCTTCTGCTTACATATGGTTTCCATATCTGTATTGAGTGTAGCACAGGTGACACTTTATATTGGCTTTTTGCTTTATAAAAAAAAACAGTCTGCTCCTGTTCCCAGTTCTGGCTGCCTGGTCTATTTGTGGCATCTGGTCTTCAGGAGCAAGGTTTCTGTGTGTCTACATTCTTGGGCTGGTGACTACTCCACAGGCTTGCCATCATCTTCCTTCTTGTCTGTCTAGTCTTCTTATAATGATCTACTCAGACACCTCCTCTGTTAAAATAATAAGAAACACACAATGTTAAAATACATACACAAGTAAAAACATTTTTAATTCAGGCCATAATATTTTCCTTCTTCTAGTAATGTATCTCCTTCCTCTTTGCCCTGTTGTTTATGTACACCCCATTTGGTTTGTTTTTTTCTTCTATAGGTGATGACCCTTTTCTTATTTTTCATGTCTCCTCCTATTGTGTTTGTCATCTGTTGATTCTAACCACCATTGTCCTTTGTATGAAAGTTTGCAGATGAGGGTGTGGACAACCTCCTGATACATTAGTGTCCCATTACTTACACCACAGGGAGGTTTAACCTACCCCTGGTTTTTGTCTTTATCCAGTTGTCAATCTCCGCTCTTCACAGTGGCTCAGATGGTGAGTTGTTTTTTAATTCTTTCATTTTCAGATCTCACAACTTTATTCAAGATATGTATCTATATTATGGAAACAAGGGAACCCACTAAGTAGCCAGTGTTGCCTCACAGGGAATACTTACCCAAAATCCACATTGAGTATAGTAGTATAGAAAGTGTTAAGCCCATCCACTCCTACTCAGTGTCCATTTTTGACTACTTTGACAGTTTCTGTGTATTTTATCTTCCACATAATTCTGTACTTGTGTAAAAAAAACAAAAAACATGACAGCATTTGATGTGAGCCTGCTCTTTTTATTTGTGGTACAGTGTAGCCCCGTTATAACGCGATCTTTGGGGTCCTTAACACTGCGAAACAAGCGGGGCGAGCTAAGTCGGGGTTTTGTAAAGGTACACTTAAAATATTAAAAGTTATTAGTATGTAAACTATA